CCACATAGCTTCAGAGACTGCTGTCACCATCGGACCTGTACAGCTCCACCAGAGAAGCCCTCCCCTAAAAAGCTGACAGAAATGACAGCTGAGCACTCCACGCCCTGGAAATAATACCAGTGCAGCACCTCCAGCTGTCTCCATAAGGCACACCACCAGGAGAAGCATTGTAGGGCATAACCATCGCATAAAGTCCGTAGAGGCAGCTGCTACTGCAGATGTACAAATATTAACATAGGATAAAAAAACCATGGAAGAACAAGGTGGAATGACATCTTGGAAAGAATGTGATAATTCTCTACCAAGAAATCTTGAAGAAGAAACTGGGGGAAATGCCTGACATATAATTCAAACAGATGATTTTCAAAGGAAAACAATGAGCTATGAGCTTCGGACAAACGATTCAAATATCACAAAGAATATGCATGACAAAAATGAGAAATAGCAGAGAAATAGACATTAAAACACTGAAACAGAATTTTTTCATCTAATATCTAATGGAAAATTAATATATAATCCAGATACATAAAGCACTTGAAAACTTAATAGAAAAAGAACAAGTACCCCATCATCAAATGGAAAACAATTAACAGACATTTCTCAAAAGATGTACAAATGACCGGTAAGATACAAACAATTTCTCAACAGTTTTAGCCATTAGGGAAATGTAAACCAATCCTATACTGAGATTCTATCCTATCTTTGTCAGGATGGCTACTGAAAAAAAAATCAAAGTCTGGCCAGTGTGTAGAGGAAAAAGATGCTTCACATGCTGTTAGTGGGAACGCGAGGGAGGATAGCTACAGTGAAAACAGCATGGAGAACCCTCAGAAAACTACAAAGAGAAGATACCCAATCCAGCTACAGCGTGCCAGGATATACACCCAAAGGGAAGGAAGTCGGCATATAACAGACACCTGCATCCCGATCTGTACTGCAGTAATTTCCAAAGTAGCCAATGAATAGAATTAGTGGATTCGTCATTAGGTGACTCTATAAAGAAAATCATAGATAGGCACAGCATTAGGCAATGACAGAAGGAAATCGTGTCATTTGTAGGAAAATGGATGGAACTGGGGTTGTCATGTTGACAGGAATAAGCAAGAAACAAAATTTAAGTATTAAACGTTTTATCTTGTACTTTGAGAGTAAAAAATAAAGAGATTTCTAAGAAGGGGCAGAAGGCTGTGTGGGGAGAGGGAGGAGGAAGAGGGTGGTGGGGAGGATGGACACAATAAAGCACACACGTGCTTGTAAGGAAACGTCACAATGAAAACCATGAATTCGTATAATTAATCTGAGTTAAGAAGGAAATGTACAGAGACACATGCTCCCAAGAGTCCCCGCACAGACCCAGGAGCCAGGCCTCCCCATGCACTGAGGCTCTGGGCCAACTGCAGCACCAGACCAGCTGCTGTGTACTCGGGATCCAGGCGTACACAGCAGATGCAGACGCCAGGCCATCTCGGCACCCGGCCAGACCCCGCAGGCTCAGGCTCCAGGATCACTAGAGCAACAGGCTGGCCTCTGGATTGTGGCTTTGGTCCGAACACACGCGTGGAAGTGTCAGGCCCGGCCCTGAGGACACAGTGAGCAAATCCAAACCAGGCTGACTGTGTGCTGCCTACTCGCCCCAGGGCTGAGGACCCACGCAGATTGAGACTAATGTGATAGAAAAGATATGCCGTGCAAATAAAAACTAAAAAAATAAAGCAAGGAAAGTTATATTTATATGAGATACAGCAGACAAGGTAAAAATCTATAAATTAAGACAGAAAGCATTATGCAATCATATGGGGCCAATCCAGCAAAGATCAGGTAGGTCTTAGACTTTCTTTGGATTGAAAAGTGTTATTATGTATTTAATATTTTTACTCATTCTTGGTCTGTCCAGATTTTCTGCTTTATGATACAGTCTTGGTAGGATTTAAATTTTTTTTTAATTTCTAATAATTTAGTTTCTCAAGATTGTCTAATTTGTTCATGGAAATCTCTTCTGATCTTTTGTATTTTTAGTTGTAATGTATCCTTATTTTAGACCTTGTATTTTTCCTTAGTCTTTTTTGTTTGTTTGTTTGTTTTGTTTTGTTTTGTTTGGTACGGGGAATCGAACTAGAGTCCTTGTGCTTGCGAGGCAGGTGCCAAACCACTGAGCTAAATCCCCAGCCCCTTAGTCGTTTGATTTCATATATTTTATTACCTTTTTTTAAAAACCCAGTGTCTGGTTCTTTTTATGTTGTTGTTATTCTTTCCTTCCATCTACTAATTTCAGCTTAGTTTGTTCTTTCTTTCTTAGTTCCTTGAGGTATATTACCTGGATAATTATTTGAGATTGTTCTGCTTTTTGATGAGTACGTTTATTCCTATAAACTTTCCTTGTAAGACTGCTTCATACCATGTTTTGGTATCATTTGTCTATTTTATTTCCAATTTCCATTTTAATTTCATTGGCCCATTGGTTGTTCAAAAGCATGTAGTAAAATTTCCATTTATTTTAGAATTTTCTGAGATTCTACTTGATATTGATTTTCAGTTCTATACCACTGTGGTCAGAAAAGATACTGTGATTTCAACTTTCTTTGTGGCCTAACATAGCACTTCTGAAGGAGGTTCTGTATGTGCTTGAGAAGAATACATATTCTGTTACTACTGGATGAAATGTTTTGTACCTGTCTGATACGTCTATTTGGTAGGAAGTGCACTTAAACTTCTCGTTCCTTACTGATTTTCTGTTACTGATCTCTGTTACTTAAAAAAGTGATAAATTGAGATTCCTCACTATTACTATATAGCACTCTTTTCTTTCTTATCTATTGATACTTGCTCCATCCATTTCAGTGTTCTGTTGTTGGTTACATAGTTGATTACCATTGTCAGATCTTGAATTGCCCTCTTCTTTATTACATCACGGATGCCTTCTCCATCTGTTCACTTTCAGTGTCTGTGCACCCTCAGAGCTGTGAGTCTGCTGTGTGCAGCACAGACACAGGCCTTGCTCACAGTTTGGAGCATGACACACAAGGTGCCACAACTCCAGATAAAGGCAGTAGGCTATTTTTCCAAGTCTGTGCTTTAAATGTGTACAAGTTGGATATTTGGAGTGCTGCAGAGAAGGAATCCATAGTTTGGAGCAATAAGAAACTAGGTCCCGGAGCATTAAACTTTTGCTGTATTCCAGAGTTTGGGAGGTAGACAATATGGACAATATGGGCACAGTGCTGGCATGAAAACAGCAGCAAATGTACATTTTAAGTTTCTGAGGAAGTGCTTAGACACCTGGAGCGTGCAGTGTGGGTGCTGGAAGAGGCGCCATGGTTTCAGGTCTAGGTTGTGTATGGGGAAGAGGTTGGCAGCTGCAGGGATAGAGTAGATCAATGGGGCATTCAGCAGTGGCTGTTTGGGGAGCGGATGGGTGCGCTGACACATTTCCCTCTACAGGGGCATAGGTGAAAAGTAGTTGTGGGTGACTTCCATGGCAAAAGATCCCATTGTCTTTTGCAGAGCAGCTCACTGGAGGCCACAGCAGTCCCTTCTGAGTGGTTGGTACGGAAAACCCCCTCCCTTCTTCATTCATAGCTATCGTAAGACATTTCAGGTATTCTACGCAGCAGTGCTATCTGTGTAACTATTGTCTTTTATTTTTTTGCACCTCTGTGTTACTTTAGGTTCTGCAATGTACCCTTGAGGTCTCCTGATGCTATTTTTTTCATTCTTCATATATAACTGACTTTATTCGGTTTGTAGTATGTGAGGGTATGAAGGCTAGTAGCTCCTTTAAACACAGTGAAGGAAACAATGAAGAGAGTAAAAGTCCAACAAGAAAACATTTTAGACTGTCTTCTAAGGGGTTATTCTCCTAGGTTATAAGGAACCCATACAACTCAATAGCATTAACAACAACAGTAACGATGATAATAATAATAACCTGATTGAAAAATAAGTAAGATAATGAATAGAGATTTCTTCAGAGAAGAGCTGCAAATTACCTACAGGTATTTTTAAACCTGTTCAACATAACTAATCACTAATACTAAAGAAACATGACAGTGAGATCTGACCTCACAGCCCTGGAATCACTATCACCAAAAGACAAAAGTTAACAAGTATTGGCGAGTATGTACAGAATAAGCCTTGTGCATTGTTGTTTTTGGATATATACAACTTGGTATAGATTCTATAAAAAACACTTCCTCATAAAATTAAAAATAGAACTACCTTATGATTCAGAATCCCAACTCTGGACACACATTCAAAGAATTGAGATCATTATCTCAAAAAGATATATTCATCCACCCACATTCACACTGCATTTAATAACCAAGGTTTGAAAACAACTTGAATGCCAACAGAATAATGAATAAAATTGTGATATTGGTAAGGCATAAAGTTACCTACACACCAAAATATTATTCAGCCTTACTAGAAAAAGAAATCCTGCTATTTCATGAAAATATGGATAGATCAGCCTAGAAGATGTCATGCTGAATAAAAGCCAGATTTGGAAAGATAAATACTACATCATCTCCTGTATATATGGACTGTAAAATTCTCCAATCTGTGGAAACAGAGAGAATAGTGGCTTTCAAAGGCAGAGAAAGGGCAAGAATGGGAATATATTGCTCAAGAGGTGCACAGTGACAATTATGCCAAATGACTAAGTTCAGGATATGTACAGCAGAGTACGGTGACTGTGATAAATAATACTGGATTGCTTACTTGGAATTGGCTAAGAAAACAGGTCTTAAGATTTGTAAAAGGAAAACAGTGGTAACCATATGAAGTGATATTTTCATTAGATTGTAGTGACTATCTCACAACTCATCATATATCAAAACATCAAGTCATAGATCTAAAGACATACTATTTCTATTTGTCAATTGTATGTCAAAAGTATGGAAAAATTAATACAAATCTTACACAAAAGTAAATATACATATATATTTCATGTTCCTTTGTTAATGTTAGTAGAAATATAGAAGGCCAACTATTTTATGTATTACCTTTTCCAAAATAGCTCTCACAACGTGCATTAAGATCATGGCAGTCTCCATTATAACAAATATATGAATTATTTTTGCACTTATGTCCATTTTTTATAAATATGTCAGGTCCACAGTGATGTGAACTTCCATTACAGTACTCAGGAATATCACATTCAGGATGCTGAATGGATCTGCAGATAGCACCTGCTTGTAAAAACTAATAAATGAAAATATAAAGCAAGAGTAAATCATTATATGTAATATTTGTACTTGTTAATATTTCTTTCAAAATTATGACATTTATACTTTTAACTCATAAATATCTGTCAATATTTTTATATAAATCATTACACCAATCATTAAAAGGGAAATTATTATCAATTAAAATGAGAGATAAAATAAACATAAAAGCAAAAGGAGAAGAAAAAAATTTTATTTGTATCTTCAGGACAAGAAGGGAAGGGACACTTTTAGCTTTGAAAAGTTATGTGAAAATATTTATTTAGGTCTATTTCCAAAGAAATATACGCATATAAACTGCAACTTCAGGATTTTTTTCAGTTTTGGGTTTTTTGGGTTTTGTTTTTTTTGTTTTTTTTCAGTACTGTTGGATTGAACTCAAGGCTTTCCCACTGAACTATATTCCCAAACCTTTTTTTATTTTAAGCGTCTATGCCACTAAATTCCTCACGCTAACCTTGAACTTGTGATCCTATGATCTCTGAGGTCCAAAGTCCTGGGGTTACAGGCTTGTGCAATCACGCCTACTCACACTACTACAATTTGTAAGTATTTACAAATGTAAATGTGCAATACTTAACATTTATATGACAAATATGAAACACAAATGACCTAGAATGAATGGAGGAAAAGAGTGAATAAAGAAAAAATTTAACTCTCGGAGCTATGTGAAAGAGCCCTAATATAATTTTTCTCCTGAGTTATATTATAGTCCATTAACTTTTTATTTATTCCTTTATTTCTATCAGAATCTTAAATGAGCATCTAGCTCATATGTCATCATTTATATTTCAAGTTGATACAAAGTTTACAGAGGTTAGGACGCAATTATATGACACGTTTAAAAAACATGAAACCTGTTCGATCCCCGGTACCAAAAACAAAACAAAACCCGGTGAAAGCATTGCTCAAGGGCAGTCAGTAATACAAGGCCCATTGTTGGTAGTTCAGCAGAGGTATTCTCACATGGGGATTTGTTACAAATACAGTATATTAGAGGAACAAAAAAGTAAAATGAAACTGCAGTGAATATTTTCACCAGAAAACTAAAATGTCATTATTCAGCCAAATGATCTCTAAATAACATGTTCAGTTTAAACTTTTTAGCACAACATGTACTATTTGGAAAATATTACTCTAGTGAGTGTTACTTTTCCTACTGGTATGGAAAATTGCTGTCTTTCAACTGTCTATGTACAGCTACTCAAAATAACCACTAATAACATTTTCATTTAAGAGTGAATTTGGGACAGAAATATTGAAAAGAAAGAATAATTGCCCTTTACACCGGAGATCTTCTGTCTTGAAGAGCTCTACAATCAAGGCTTAAACTCAATCAAGCATCAAAAACAACAGCATTAAATTAGTGAAAATGGTGGCATTAGGCAGAGGTTCCAAAATCCAACAAGTTCACAAGATCAGAAATCTAACTATGAATTTATTATGTCGTTCATTATTTAAAACATTACTTATTCTAAATTCCACCTAAAGTTTTCTTTCCTTACACCTTCTAAGTGTTCTCATGCCTCATGCACATAATTCAATACATACTTTTCAATGTTAATAAATTAAATCTTACTTTACACTGCCTGCAGCATGGTCCAGTATCACACTGTGATTCTGGTTTCAGCACACACTTTGTATGATCACAACAGGCCTGAGGTCCACATTGCTATGAATGAATAGAATGTACAAGTAAAAGTTAATCAGGACAACAATAAAAACATTTGCTCTATTTACTGGGCTTGAATTTTGAAGCAGGATTCCTGATATTTATAGATTTTAGCTTCTCTAAACATTACTTCAGATCATAACAAATAGCTGATATTGCATTTATCTTCCTGTCCAACTAGAAAACTGGGAAATGTATAAAGTTATATATATATTTTTTTGGAAATTGGATAAAATGCAAAGCAGAATTATAATTAATTGGATAAGTGAAACATGAACCAAGTTCAGTCAGCAGGAGGTGTTTTTCCAAGCAGACCACAATTATCTCAGTGACTTAAAAAGAAGATCCTAATGAGATAACTGATATTGTGAAATGGGAAGAAAAGGGCTAAAGGTGTAGGGAAAGTGGGAAGGGTAGGGGAAAGGTAATAAGGGAAAAAATACGAGAAAATTAAAAAATGGAAATAAAGAGTTTGTAATTGGGGAGGGGAGGATGGGGTGAAGGGAGGGCAGGGACAAGGGGAAAAAATGAGAATCAAGACCTGTCATGTAGAGGTACAAGATCCCAATAATAAATGTAACTGTATTGTATACCTAAAAATGTACCAATAAACTCAATAAAAGAAAAGGAAAAAAAAGTATAAAATAATATGACGACTTTGAAAAATATTTTATAGTTTCTTACAGACAAATACCATGGAACTTAGCAATTCTACTTTTATTAATTAGGAATAATGGACCAGTACTATTAAAAACTCAAAAATTCATAAGCAGGTGAATGAAAAAGCAGTGTAGTAGATCTACATAGTGAAATATTACTCAGAATTAAAATGAACAAAATATTGTGATATAAAACAGTGTGGATGAATTATAAAAAACACTGCTGAAAGGATATAGATGTAAAAGAATAAATGTTGTATTATTCCCATTTAAATTATTTTCTAGATCAGACAAGCAAATCAAGAAGTTCCTTGGAGATGCGTAGAAGTGACAGAGGCTGCAAAGAGACATAAGTAAACTTTGGAGGATAATGAAAAATATTTGTATTTTAACTGTTTCAATAGTTTTAAAACTGTCAAAATTCTTTACACTTAGAATGGCTGTATTTTATTGTATGCAAATTATATCTCAACAAATTTAATTTTAACAATTGATCAAGAGTAAAAAGAAAACATTCTACCAGATGGCTATACGTAGGAATTAAACCATGCAACATGCATCCAAGTAATTCAGAACCATGTATATTAAAAAAACCTACTATAATTTCTGTCTTGTAATAAAAAATTGTAGTATTTCTAGCATCCTTGCAGATACTGAATTATTTAGAAACAGTATAACTGGGACCTTTTGCATTCATTATATTTTAAGGGCTTCCTTGACAAGTGAGTGATCAAACTCACCTAATGTTCTGTCTGTAACACTGACACATACCATCGCTATTTTCCCTGTTCTGTTGTAAGTACAGCAGCTTCTTCTAGATTCCTTTTTACCTATAGTAAATAAGTTCTGCAGCATATTTTAAACTTCTTCATAACTTTTATGGCTTGTGATTAGATGTCCCCCAAAACCTCACGTTGGTCATAGGTGGGGCTTTTTCAGAAGTGGCTGAATATAGAGGGTGTGAATGATCTATGGTCCTAGCATTAAGGGTGATAGGATTAATGGTGTGAGTACTATACACCCTAAGGGCGGGTAGCCTAGATTAAATATAAAGGACAGAAAGAGGCCAGTTACATGCAGTTGGTCATGTGTTTGCTTTTACTATCTTCTGCCTACCATGAACCGTTTCTCCTCTGTGATGCTCCTCTGCCAAGCCACCCTGCCTTGGAGCCAGCGAACTATGAACTAAAACCTCTATAAACTAAGCTAATTAAACTTTTCCTCCATTAACTTTTAGTATTGAGTATTTTGACTCAGCAATGAGAAAAGTAGCTAAGACAATAATAACTCTTCAACCTATAAAACCTAGATACTATTTTCCTGCATATGTTTCAAAGTGTTTCACTTTCCATCATTATTCTACACAGTACTTGGTCATATTTAAGGTGTATGTTTATGAAAAACAATAAAGCTGTTTTTCTAGTTATCAGACTTACTTCTGCAGTACCACAGTCACATACTTCATTTCCCTCCACTTTGCCATTTCCACAGCGTGGCCTTGGATTTCTTTGCATCTGTGGTTTATTCTGAAGACATCTGGCACCCACATTTGAAATGAAACTTCTAAAGTCATTCAAACTGCAATTGCTAAAAGTCTTCACACCGCTGAATTGTCTAAAAGGGAACCCATATAATATCATCATCAATATATGTATGAAATCATAAGCTACATATTTATATTTAATTTCACAGACAATATCACGTGTACCTGATAAATATTCATAATAGTTCTTGGGGAAGTCATGTGGTTTCATTCACTGGAATATGTGATTTTTCAAACAAAACTAAGTACAAACCAATAATATAAAAAGCAATCTACAAATAAGCAAAGGAATTAAACAGGTATGGCTTCACTCAAAAATGTACACCTAATAAACAGTGCATTTTATTAAATAAATTATATCACAATCTAGAACTTCCTCAAAGACCTCAGATAAACTGTATAATTATTAAAATGCTATACAGTTAAATTTGTATAATGCTACTAAAGATAATTTCTGGGAATGACTTCATAAAATGAGTAGTCTAATAAGTACAAATTATAAATAAGACAAAAAGGAAACAGATTTACTGAGTACCTATTCTGAGCTCAATGTTTTATATACTGTGTGCAGTTAATCATCCAGGGAGTGTGGTATGGTCCTTACAATTTTATAGAAATTGAAGTGGTTCTTTTCTTCCCATTATACTTGATTAGAACTAGCAGCACTCACATGACATTCAGAAGATACTCACCAGAATCTACAGGTACTCAGGAAAAGACGCAAACAAACAAACAAAAAATCCAAACATAGGAAGGTGACCTGAAGGAGAAGCCTACCAGATGGATTCCAATATCAGGAATACCTAGAGGAAGAAGCAGTATTGCCTCTTGCTCCTAGCATTGTTATAGCTCAGGCCCAATGAACATGCCACCTTGGACAGCAGGAGCAGCAGGACTGCTACAGTGAAAGGCCAGCAAAGCAGCTACTGCTTAGTGCCACCTATTGTAGCTTGTCTTCTCCCTGGAAGACAAGAGTTAGCATGTGACAGGCTCACATAAGCGAGCACGCTCAGGTCAGTGAACTAAAAGAGGCTAGGACCAGAGAATTACTCAGTAGGCAATGACTCAGGATCAGCATGCTCTAGCAAAAACACAGGAAATAGAAATGACCAATGGGGGAGGGTGTCAAAATTTGAAGATAAGGCTGATGTATAGAGAGCATGTACTCAGCAATACCCTAAAAGCCACAAAACACGATGGAAATTAGATCAAAGGGCTACTAGATGACTAAAAAACCAACCTAAAGTATACATGAACTAGGGAAAATTTAGAATAAAATTTATTCACTGAAATTATAGTGTAAAAAATTCCAAATATAGGGGAAAAATTCCCTTGGACATAGGTATATCTCTTCTAAAAGATGTGCTATTATACTGATACATGCATATCCATGTTTAGAGCAGCACAACTCATAATAGTTAAGATATCAAAGCATCCTATATGCCCTTCAACAAACAAATGAATAAAAGAAAAGAAATACATATATATTACTACTCAGCCATAAAGAAAGATAAGTGTGAGTCATTTGTCATAAATTGGATACATATTGAGACAAAATACAAAGTGAAATGTCTTGTTTGTCTCTCAGGATCTTCCTGTCTTCCATAATTTTCCCCTACAATTTCATTTTACTCAATATAAAACATTATACATCTACATCATAGGGTTATAGTGAAAATTAAGCATTAAATAAAGGAAGTGCTTAGTTCATCTATGAAGCATACAGTGGTTAACTAATTAAACAACCTTTATGGTAGGGTAACAGCAGGTGAGTTTGGCCACTTTAACTGTGCATTAATTTTATAGTCTCTTGGGATTTTTGTACTCCAGAATTTTTCCCAAACACATTAAATGGAAAGAATAACACTTGCTTTATTGGCATAATTTTTGAGAACTAACATAAAGTAATGTATATGTTTTATAGAAATGCAAAAGAGCTATACATATGTGGTACTGTTAGATTTTGTAAAAACTAATGTAATCCTTTCTCTACTCACATCACAAGAGATTTGTGAGAAACTGATGCTTATGTAAGAGAACATTCTGAAACATAATATACCATGTAAGTCTAGAAGTTTACTACCCCAGATTCAAAACAGTTCAGCCACAAACTATGGGTAATTATCTTTTTAATATTTTAGCTTCTCATCTATAAAAATGGATATAACTGGAACTGCCCTATAGGGACATGGTGAGAATCAAAAACAGTAAGTTAATTCACTTAAAGTGCTTGTAATGGTCTCTAACATTGTAAATTATGTACAATTTTATAAATATTATCATTAATAATAGACACTGAATGACCTACATAAAACAGCATACTTAAGAACAGTTAGCTAAATGGAATGAACTTTAATTTTCAAAGTTTTGTGATATATGTATATATATTCCATTTATCAATGGTTTTTTCCAGCTTTAATTGAGTTTATTAGTACATTTTAGGGATACAGTACAGTTACATTCATTGTTGGGATCTTGTACCTCTACATGACAAGTCTTGATTCTCATTTTTTCCCCTTGTCCCTGCCCTCCCTTCACCCCCTCCTCCCCTCCCCATCTACAAACACTTTATTTCCATCTTTTCATTATCTCACATTTTTTCTTTTCCCTTATTACCCTTCCCCTACCCATCCTCTGGTTACATTCTTACTTCTATAATCTTTTATTATCAAGTTGAAATAATAAATTAAGGATTATAAGATTGATGCCCATTTAAGATTTTTCATGTAGAATTTCAAAATCCTATATATGAAAAAAGAAAAATAAGGCACCTAAACAAGACCCACATTCAGACTTCTAGCTCACCAAAGGCAAATTTAGGAGTCAATGAGATGGAACAACCCATAAGCCAAAAACCTAGTCTCTCTGAACTGATAAAAAAGGGAAATAACAGAACAAATGAACAAGGATCTAGAACAATTCAAAGGAAAAATAATTGCCCAGGTAACTACAGGGACTGAGAACACAATGAAAGACATGCTTAGAGACTCTAGAACAGATAAAAAAGTAGAGGAGTTCAGGAACATGATGGAAAACATAAATGCCCAGCATAGGAAAAAAATGGAATACATGAATCTAATTCAGATATTCAAGAGAATAAAACCTCTACTGAAAGGCACACAGTAGAATGAGCCAATATGAAAGCAGAATACCAGATATGGAAGACAGGATTGCAGTTAGTGATGATGAAAAGAGATATTTCTTAAAAATAGCAAGGAACCATGATAAATCAATACAGCATCTAAGAGACGATACAAAGAAGAATAACATGATTGATTGGAGTTGAAAAAGAAGCAGATAGTGCCATTGACATTAAAAATTTTTCACAGAGATAATGGCAGAAATCTTTACAAGCAGGGGAAAGAATTCGACATGCAGGTAAGTGAGGCATACAGGTCTCCAATGAGCTGTGATCAAAAAATCTACACCAAGCCATAAAATAGTCAAGATTCCAGAAATCCAACAGAAGAACAAAATATTAAAAACAATTAGAGAAAAGAAACAAATTACATACAAAGGAAAACCCATCTGAGTAACAGCAGACTTCTGAAAACAAACCCTCAAAGCAAGAAGAGCCTGGAGTTAAGTATTGCAACCCCTAAAAGGAAATGAAATCCAACCCAGATTAATGTATCCTACAAATAAGTTATCTTTCAAGACCAATGCAGAAATGAGATACATTTACAACAATGAATACCTGGGAAGTACATGAATAACAAACAAGCACTCTAAAAATTTCTAAACAGTATCCTAGAAAAAGACAAAAGGATTACAGCTTCATGAATCCCAACAGAATGAAGCCATCAGGCAAAGCAAGAAATTAAATGGAAAGGGGGAAATTATGTTTAAAATAAAAGAACCTACAACAAGAAAATACCATGACAATAATAAATCAACACATATCAGTTATAACCATCACTGTAAATGGCCTCAATTCACCAATCAAAAAAAAGGGGGGGATGGCAGAATGGATTAAGAAGCAAGATCTAACAATATGATGATACAAGAAATGCATTTAATTCAAAAAGAAATTATTGACTGAAAGTCAAACAATGGAAAGAAATAGTCCATACAACAGGAGTCTGGAAGAAAGCAGGGTAGTTACACCAATTGCAGACAAAGTGGATTTCAAACCAAAAGTAATTGCTGAGAAAAAGGTCACTATAGCCTTGTAAACAGAACAATTCAAGAGGAAGAGATGATACTCTGCACCAAATACTAGTGTGCTCACCTACATAAAGTAAATATTAGCAAACATGGAAAACAAAATAAGCACAAGTGCAGTAGTAGTTGGAGACATCAATACCCCACTGTCACAAACAGACAAAACAACTACACAGAAAATCAACAGTGAAATATGAGAACTGAGCCAAGCTTTTGAAATGGACTTAAAAGATGTCTACACGGTGCTCTACCCAAGAAAATAAGAATGTACATTCTTTTCTTTTCTTTTTTTTTTTTGTACCGGGGATTGAACTCAGGTCCTTGCGCTTGCAAGGCAGGCCACTGAACCACTGAGCTAAATCCCCGGCCCAGAATGTACATTCTTTTTGGCTACATAAGGGTCATTCTCCAAAATAGACGACATGTTAGCTCATAGGACATGCTTAAGTAAATGCAAAGGAATTGAAGTTATCCCCTGTATATTATCACACCACACTGCAATTAAATTGAAGATCAATAGGATAAGAAACCACAAAAAGCAAACACATGAAAATTGAATAACACTCTCCTAAACAATCAATGGGTCACAGATGAAATTAAAGAAGAAATTAGACAGTTTCTATAATTAAATGACAATCCCAATACAACATATCAGAATTCATGGGACAAAAAGAAAGCAGCCTTATGAGGAAAATTAATAGCAGTGACTACTCATATTAAGAAAAGAAAGTGAGCTCAAATAAACAACCTAATGTGGAACCTCAAGCTTCTAGAAAAATAAGAGGAGGACAAACCTAAAGCTTGTATAAGGTAGGAAATTATAAAGATCAGAGCAGAAATCAATGCAATGGAGACTAAGAGAATGATACAAAAAAATCAAAAGAAAAAAGAAAAGAAAAAGAAAGAA